GATGTGCCCTGCCAAGGAGTGGACTCTCTCACCCTAGAGCTCACCATAAACCATTCGTCGTCGTTTCAAATGCATTGAGAGCTCTGCACCAAAACGCTCCAAGTAATCAGAATAGCCGTGAAGAACTGTATTAATCCAAAGTAAATTGATGAACTAATAGGTGACTACCAGTAATTTGAGGTGTTCCATAGTTTTGTGTAGAGAAAAATGTGGTCTTTCATACTCCAAATCATTAAGATGCGGTGGGTGTGAATACGTACTTCGTTCGGATACTTACGCCATATCCCATGAATAGCCAGTCCTACGCCTTATTTGAATGAAGTAGGCAGCCACGCCCACCGCGTCTCAATGGTACGGGTGGATGTTGCTCTCCCAAAACGTCATGCAGAATAACTTATTATTGATTTTTTGGCGGAGGTCCGGTTGGGGATATTTGTGTAAAACTTGATTACCGTACTTAAGATGGGGCTTCTGCCTCGAGGCAAAGGGGGAAGGAATCTGGGGTGAAAAAACATGTTTCAAGTTTGGTAATCCCGTTCCGGATTACTGTAATCTCTATTCTGCACAATTCCTCTGAATGATCCTCTCCGAGCCAAATGGGCTTGCCCTGTCTATCTCATCGCAGGAAAAACGCAGTATATTCAACTTTTTCAGCAGCACATTCAACGAAATGGATACGCATAGCATTGGTGAGTGGCTATTACCGTAACGAGATTTAAGATTCATTCCTATCTTGCAATATTTTACTGTATAGCTTATTTTTTCTTACTCAACAGTGTATTGAAGTCCTTCAGCTCATTCAGAACGTTCTCTGAAGAACCTTCCGCTGAGTCAAAGGCTCACATTTGACAACAATATGGAACGCCGTCGTTTAAAGCGGCAAAGCGCTGTCGACATTCCTGACGACAAGCTCGACCAAGTAATTTTTTGAGATTACCGGAATTTTCAAAACTAAATTGGTTATTATTTTTGGAATTATCGATTTGCTTGAAAAGCATGCAATTCACCTAAGAATAGGATTCATTTCTTCTTATCGATTCCTCATAAGCGTGAAGGAATCTGTGGATTGCAAGAGAAAGTCAATTTCTTCATTTCCAGTACCTCAGCGAGCCCGCCGTCAAACACTCGTTGTGCGATGATTTCGACCGAAAACATCCAGCTAGAATCAAAAGTAAGTTCGTAATCTAGCGGAGTAGTAGGGTAATTCAAAATATGTCAGTGGCAGCATTCACTCATTAGCCCACCTTTAGCGACAGGTTCAAGGTTCGTAGCAATGAGCTCAGGCACGACGTTGTTGTGATTAGCTGATTTGTCTAGTAAAAGGATAATACAGACGGTCTAGGTGATCTCTTGTAGGTCATGAAGAAATGCGTTCAGCCCGGTTCCTGCGCAATTTCGAGCCGAGAAAAAAGCGTTTTATCACGATGACGTGGGCGAACTGCTGCGGCACGAGTTCAGTACGCCGTAGGCCGTGAGCGTGACGACGGCACGACCACGTTTTTTCGGTCTTCGGAAAGGAGCGTTTCTTACGATGCTCTCACTTGATCAAAGGCAGCGCCGCGTTCATTCGATGTTCCTACGCCCTCCTTAAATATTGTAGCTTTGTCGTCAAGCGTGGAGGATTTACTAATATTCGCAGTATCAAAAGACGACAGCATCGTCACCCGCTTGTGAGGAGGATGCTCCGCCCCCACCTGGCGAACATAATGTTTGGCTTTGTTCATTTGAGGCGGAAGCGCTTTCAAGATTAATGACGCCTATGGAGCTTATATTAATCCATCCAGTAGTGAGACAAAAGCATGAAAAAAAACTCATGGAAATGCCCTATGTAGAACCCTATGCTGGCCAGGTGGCGGGGCGTGCCGCCTCTTCACTAGCGAACGGCGCGCTATCCTCTCGCCTTTTTGAGATGCAAAACTAGTACATACTGCATCCTTATAGGGAGGGCTATGATATCCAGAGAGGGCGCGGGAACATCAAATGAACGTGGGCGCTGCCTTTAAGGCACTGATTGCCTTTATGCCCTTCAATATATTGGAAAGTCTTGCAAAATAATACTATATTCAACCGCAACTTCTGCGATTTTTTTTTGATTTTTCATTCTCTTCTGCTACGGAGTTCCGCTTCCGCTCACTACTTCTGAAGCGAAGCGCGGAGTGGAGGGTCTTGTATTAACGAAATGACATGATTACACTTATTCCAAAATGGAAGTGTTCCACAAAACGTAGTCGCCGCCGCCACAGTCACGTATGCAGCCACGCCCATCTGAATTTGAAGTATAGCTCTAAAATTTTCTCGGTCGCGAAAAGGCTCCTGCTGTGCAATCGAATCAATCAATTGAGACGTTGTTTTCATTTTTTATATCTAAGGTTTTGAGAAGTAGCTCAACTTGAAGTTGCAGTTCGTCGAATCTCAAGTGTGACGTCACGTGGCTCGGCGGCATCCAGCTCTCGCGCCAATGTACACATCGTTGAGCATCCACGCCGTCGTAGTCAAATATACAACAAATTCATGACAATGAATGATTTTTAAAATTGATACTTTGATGTACTAATTGTACTTACATAGTAAATGAATATACAAATGTAATGTGAATGGACACGACCAAGAAACAATACTGTCACACAATACAATGCTTGGCCTAACCTGTTCTCCAACCAGCACCTGGCTTACCTGATCTAGTCTGCTAACCACAAAACGATCTAGGCAGCATGTCACCTTTTCAAGATCTAGGCAGCATGTCACCTTTTCAACTATTCTCCCTGCCTTAATAAGTCCCACTCTCAGAATTTCCCCAGAAAGTTTCCAAATATGAGGGTCTCTTCGAGGGCCGAGCAAGGGGACTTGTTAGCGACGCTGTTAACAGACGCTCTATTCTTCTGATATTAAAGGGAGAAAAGTTGCTCAAGTGACTCCGCTCACAGTGATAGGTGTTCTATATATGCTCCCCTTCACTTGCATGCTCTTTCGCTGTCTTCTGCACTCTCACAATATCCACATCGACTGGTTTTCATTCATATACACATCATTGGTTTTTCTCTACGAGAGCATAGACTATTTGATGTATCATTTTTTGCCTTTATTCTTCACGGAGATATCATTAGCACATTACATTTCTGTTTCTCAACCCTACGAACTTTGTATTTGGCCTCATTTGTGAAGTATCCATCGATGACCGATAATTATGCAATTTTCCGAACGAGTACGAATGTGTGGCTCATTCTGGAGCGAAAGTCCACCAAAACCATTCCCAAGAGTTGATCCTAGGCGAACTTTGGCATCACTTTCAATCTGTCAATATAGTTCCGTCAAATTTCGCGCAGCATGTGCTCCTAGCTCACATCCTTTTCTTTTCCATCTTTCCGTATAAGACGATACTTGGAGAAACCTTGATTACCCTGCGTGGGATTTAGGTGCCAAATATGAATATTACTGGATGAATATTGAATATTATGTGAAAACAGAAATTGTTGAAACCATAGGCGATGCCCAAAATAGGGTTTAACGGCTCACCCGGTATTCGAAGAAGGGAGACAGTGCTGCGCGTGAGAGGGACCAGAGACGAAGGAAGAGAGAACAGGAACACAAGGTGATGAGAACGACAAGAAATAGGAGCAACTCCATTGGAGCACATATCATTACTGAGAGAATTCAACTAATTGGGGTGTCCTACTTGGTCGTAGGGAGGATCTTAGTTGCCTTGAGAAAAAGTCTTCCGGTTGACTACCATACACTACTATTCCTGATAGAGTTGGAATTAGTAATTGTTTGTTGATGATCTTCGCCACGCCCCCTCCCCCACCCCGCTCGCCACTCGGCGGAAGTTTTTGCAGGGAAAACCGGAAAATTTTTCGGAGAACTGGAAACAGTGGCAGGAAGACGAGAAAACTTTGGAAGATGATAGGTAGGATGATGAGGGGGGGCCTACCAGACAAGGTTTTGGGGAGAGGGGAAGGGGGGTAATTTGACGCGCATTCCGCACAACACCATATGCACTGTTCGCCTTGGAGCGGGCAGTTTTGTACTTTCGCTTGTTCCTTTTGCTAGTTCATTTTGATCAACGGCTCTTGTGTCGGTGAGACCTGTGAACTTTGGTGGAAGTGCAAATGATACAGAAGAGCCACTTTGGTTGCAGTATTCTGGTCATGGCCCGTACAGTCACCGCTTTAAGTGTTCTTTGCTCCCTCCAAGCGAAGGTGAGTCGATTCTGTATCATGATGCTTCTTTGGACTTATTATTAGGTTGTCCGGAAAGTTCTCAGCGTTTTGGGTGTTTCACTTTAAACGATCGTAACTTTTTTAATACTCATCGGATTTGATCGAAATAGGCAAAGCACACTTTGCCAATGTGACAGCAGTCGAGAAATCCCATCAAAGAAAAACTGGGTGGTCGAAAATTCACGAAATCCACGAAGGCTTTTTTGCCTGGTCCTAATTGATGAAGTATTTTTCAGCAAGGAAGTTCTGAAAATGTTTGAAAAGGTGATAGTCGGTTGGTGAAAGGTCTGGAGAATATGGTGGGTGAGGTAGAACTTCAACCCCCAATTCGTTCAATTTATGGATAGTGATTTGTGAAACGTGTGGGCGGGCGTTGTCATGCAAAAGAATCGGACCCTTTCTTTTGATAAGTGTTGGCTGCATCTGACAAAATTTTCGGTACAATTCGTCGATTTCTTCACAGTAGGGTTCTGCTGTGATGGTTTGGCCTGGTGATAAAAAGTTATAGTGGATCACACCAGCCGATGACCACCAAGCCGTGACCAGAATCTTTTTTCGTGAGGGTTCGGCTTTGAAAATTACCTCGGTGGTTCGTCGAAATCCAACCACTGTCCGGAACGTCTCCTGTTATCATACATGACCCATTTTTCATCACAGGTGACAATTCGGCCCAAAAACAGGTCGTTTCTGCTGCGCAAAAGCAATGCAGAAGGAACCTCGAGACGTGCCGATTCCTGCCGGTCACTCCGATTGTGGGGCACCCAATTGTCGAGTTTTTTCACCTTCCCAATGCGTTCCAGACCATCTGCAACAGTGGATTTGCCAAGGCCTAGCTCTTCTGCTATCTCTCGAACTGTTTGGGATGGGTCAGCCTCCAAAATCCCCCTAAAATCCTCGTCAGATATTGCTTTAGGTCGACCGCCAGAACGAAATTTGTTGAGCCATTGCCGCACAGTGCTTTCTCTAGCACTATTGGGCCCCCACACCTGGTTAATTTGTTGAGCTGTTTCGATTGCGGATTGCCCCAATTTATAGTCGAAGAAAAAAATCGTCCGAAGTGCTCTTTTCACATGCTTGAAAAAATCTTGAAAAAAGGGGGTTTATCAAGCAATGGTGAAACGGCAATTATACCATCAGATAGCGCAAGAAATTCTCTACAGGATGTGCTACTGAGAAGCAAAGGCAGAGTTTTTAATCAGCAGTGAATGTACAAAAAATAGGTGCACAAAACGCTGAGAACTTTCCGGACAACCTAA